GAAACATCATGCGCAATAATGTTCACATGTTACGTAGTTTAATATTTGCATGTATACACTCATCACTCCAGTAGACAAAATAATTCTCCAAACCGAACAAAGCTAAGAGTGACTGCCGTCTTTTTTCATGAGAATAAAGGAAATGATCACAAACCAAAGAAGTTCTTGGTTGTTATCCAAAATCTCCTTGTCAACACCTTAAGAAATGTATAAAGAACAGTATGGAGAATATGGAGACTGATGTTAGGATGTAAAGGGTTAACAGGGCGTGAAATTAATTTTTTTTTTCTAAAAGCCACTTGGCTCCTAAATTTTTCAAAGTGGTAGCCAATTCAAAAAAAGTTGACCGCCATTTTTAGAGACGAAAAAAACCTTTTTTTTTAACGCTATCAGAGTTCTAGATAAACCCTCCAAAATTAAGTTCTACAAAGTTCTACAAAGTGGACGCTAGGATGGCTGATATACAAAGTTCAAACTCACCTAAATCCAAGATAGCGAATAGTTTTCGATCGAGATGCATGTGCTGCGTTTTGGAAACAAACTTAACGAGGAAGTTTGCCGCGGATTTATCCTTGCAAATCTTTTTAATTCACTACATCTCTAGGTATGGTTATGATTAAGCATTCTAGCCGCCAATTTGGCGACTACTTTTCAGGATTTGGTCGCCAAAGTGAAAAATTTAGTCGCACTGGCGCCTGTATTAGGCGCAATTTCACGCCCTGGTTAATATAATGTTTTCGCACTCACCTTGACATCAGATGTGTCTCTTTGGCAATTTTTCCAAGAACGTATAATGGAACAGAAAGTCCTTCCAGGATGATCAAATTTTCCACCTTGAAGATTAAGGAACTGAGTCGCGAACGGCTCCTGTTGGAAAAGACATCAAAAGACGTAAATGCCGAGTTACGGTCATCAGCCTGGTGACGCAGAATTTCCTATATCGTTTGCGCCGTTGTTTGGAGTCGTCGCGCAACAGAGAGAGAAAACGCAGTGCGAGAAAGAATCACAGTTTTTCAAGATTCGTAAAACGTTAGATAATCCCTTACCCTCCATAACCCGAGCCTCTATCTTTGATACACTTCTGTCGAAGATTCTATCCCAGCTTGTATTTCAAATATAGTAAAAAAAAGGACAGAATTGACCCTGTGAACCACAAACGCTCTCGACATCTTCTCGATTACATAGTCACCTCACCGAGGGTGAACTAAGAAGTGACGAAATCACTGGAAATATTTGCTCTATCTGAGCCACGGAGCTGCACACGACTGACAGATGTTTTTGAGGGTCTTCTAAAATTTAATTTCGTGACAGTTTTTCAGATTCTGGCACCTCGTGTTTTTGAGACAAAAACCTTCGGGCATCTTGCGATGCTTCAATGAACTCTGCTCTAAAAATGCACCAATAAAACGTGTTTTGCATCGGTTGGTAAGAAATAACACGCAAGAACATTAATGATCTTGTCAAGTAAATAAGGCAAATCAACTTACCACACGAATCATCCAAGCCAGTGTGAACCCGGATGTAGAATAGTGCGTTCCATAGTGAAACGGGGGGATGTCGTCATTCTCATCCCATGATGCATAGCGCTCTAGAAACTGTGCGTGTCTTGTGGGGTTTAGAACACCAATAGGCTACGAACAGAATAGCAGAAAAAATAATTTGTCTCGACGCAGTGATGAATATCCCAATAAAATCATGCTCCATAATAAGGTAAGTGGTTAAAAAAAGCAAGAAAACGTTGGAATCAAAGTAAACGCATTGATTTTCACACTGGACTATACAATTCATTACGTTAACAGACTATTTTCATTACAAAAATTCGAAGTTTCTCATCAGTATCTTTCTGGTAAAAAACAAGACGAAATGCGCTCCACATCCTTTTTGCTTTCCGTCCATGATCTCTAAAAAAAGGAATGTACCTTGCTAATTTCGGAAAGTAAGGAAAGTTGCTGGTACCTGAATACCACGACCTCGGCATCTGAAGCAAATGACGAATTTCATGGACATCTTACCTTGGACAAGTCCCTGTAATTGTTTGAATCAGTCAGGTCCAATGTGTCAGACTCGTAGTTTGTCAAAACCCACGGAAACACTGGGTACTGATTAAGATCACAAAAGCTTCGACCTATGACAATATGAGAAAGAAATAATAGTTCGGTAAATAATCAATGTTCTGAAAAAACAATTCATCGCCCCTTGTAGGGAGAGCCCTGAACAGACTAGCGCCCCGCCGAAAAAAAGTGTTTGTGACCCAGCTCTACCCGGATTCCTGTAGTGTTTTTAATTGGCTGCATATTACGTTATGTGTAGAAACTCAAAACCGTCCATCCAATCAGGGCCGTTATGAGAGTACACCTATCAGCTCTTAAATAATCTAAGCTGGAAGCTTAATGATCGAAAGAGACAGCTGCGGTAACAACTTTAGTACAAGTAAAATCATATACATAAAATGAATAAATAAAAAATGAATAAGTTATCAGCAGTGACAGGTCCGAAGGAGAGTTCTTTGTACTGAATTTCTCGATCGCATTGGAGAGTGGTACGGTAGATTTTAAGTAAGACGGAAAATCAGAGAACCTCGGGGAAAATCCTTGGAACGAAAGCGAGACAAAAAAATAAACTAAACGTACAAGAGAATCGAACCAAAATCAGAGCACTGAAAGGCGAGAGCTCTCGCCACTGCGCCAGCACTTCTTCCCTTATAAAGGGGTCATTCCTGCAACTCACCAGAGGGGACGAAAACTGATGAACTCGAAACATAAATAAGATAACTGGTCCCCAATATGCTTACCTGCGATGGTATTGAGAAACATAAGATACTGAAAATTCGACACTTCTCCCTTCTGCCAGCGTAGTGTCATGGTGGATTTCTGGAAAAGTTGGCGGGGAGAATACAATGATGCTGCCCTGCAAACCGAAAAAAAAGGACAAAAAAACCACGTTAACTTGGAAACAAAGAAGCAGAAGTGCTCTCTCTGAAGGCTAAAATACTAGCCTACCTAGTTTGAGGTATCCCATAATATGTTCCGACTCCCACAGGTGGAAGAGCCCGGATGACTTTTCTCACGGTCTGCTGATCAGCGAATTTAAACACCACTGAAGCTATCAAAACAAGCAAAATACAAAGGAAGAGAAAAATTCAGTTCTTTTACTGTAGTCACTTCATCAAAACTGACTAACTTAATTTAAAAGGACAAAAAGAAAAGAATTATCTTCAACATCTTTGCATGCTTTGGTCCTAAGTCAATGACCAGCGCAGTTGAATTTAGCTGAATTATTGTTCGTTAAATAAAATGTTGTTGGTTAATTTGTTTAAGTGACCCAGTGACAGAGGGGCACAACACGGGAAGTCTCACGATCCAAACGGCCTACAACCGAACGAAGTTTCTCCCTTTCTCTACAGCATGAAACGATCTTCCTCTTAGCATGAATACTACCCAATCAGAGCCATAACCCCCCCACCCCCTGCGCATTACGTCCAGTTTCTCAATAGTCTGCTAGTAATCATTTAGATTTCAGGTTTGATAGAGGCACTGTGAGTGAAGCGTGGCTGTCTGAAGACTATCACCCCTTGCTAGAGCTTCTCCCTCAGACTTCCCGATCCGAAGACCAGCGTATAAAACATAAGGCCACGGCTATTTCCTCAATGAAATCCTTTTCAGCTCTAAATTTTTAATAAAAGACTATGAATGTGTACAAACAAAATGACAAAGCTTACTTCCAGTTGACGTATATACTTCGACCGCGCAGTTTTGCAGAAGATATCTTCGTGAAAATACGGCTTTGATCATATCCAACAGCCATTTACCATGGAGACAGTCCATATACATTATGACCTGGAGACAAACAGCATTCATCGCATCAGTTTGAGGCTTTGCACTTAAAATCATTTGCACTGAACAAAACCGCTGTGAAAGCATCTTTCACGGTTATTACTGTACAATAAAAATTGTGAATGAGTTCCTGTTCATTTTAACGAGGTTGAGAAGACCCTGTAGAAAGCAAGATCATTCAGTCCAATGGATGTTTCAAAGGACCCTAGTTTATCTACTGCACGTTGCAATATCAATATTTATATTCCCCATACCCTTTCCTTTACATTTCCATTAATACTAACAAGGAGAATTTCTTTATCAGTTTAAACTTAAGTTTCTTAAGTTGGCGATCATTTCCTTAATTCTCATGATCTTAATGAAAGATTTAGCAGTATTATTGTAGGGAGAAATAAGATGCTGATCACCCTTAGGTTAAAAGGGTAAAGCATTTTAGTACCTACTAATATTCTATGAATTCCCTCTCGTTGAATGTAATTCTAACCTTCTTAAAAAGAAAAAAAAAAGTGACTCAAAAATCGTGACGTAGCCACTCTAAGAGTGTACCTCGCAGAAAACTGTGCTCAGTTCGAACGTTAAAGAGTCAATATTAACCCACACCAAGAACCTTTTCCCAATCATTCCCTATGTTTTATTTGACATATATTTTCAGCTGGCATATTTGCATGTTTTAGCCTTGCCTTTAAATTGACCGAAAAACTCCTCAGCGACTTCAGCTTTGAAACTAAATCAGAGTTTTCGTTGGAAAAAAAAAACAATCTTCAAAAGTTCCATCGCATTATTGCACGTCCAATCGTCTTTTCTTTGGACAACTTGCGCGCAAAAGATTTTACATTTAGAAAAATAGTCCAAAATAATCCTATTCAACAACTTGGCCGATAGCTGTGTCAAAAGCTATTAAAATATTTATGACCACGAAGGGGAACGAGGCAAGGGTAAAGATATATTACTAATAAATGACTTTGAGTACACAATGGAGTTTCAGTTGCATCGAACCTGAATATTTTAGAACATTTACACTTTAATTCATAGTTTTACTCATGATTCATCCAATACTTTTGTTCGCGCGCGATTGGTCTAAACGCAGCACGTGACCGAATACCCCCCCCCCCCCCAAGCTAAAATTGGGTGATATCCGAGAATATCACCCAAGCGATATTCCCCAATTTTCAAACCTTACGTCCACCACGAAAAGTATTCTTTTCAAATTTCCTTGGACATTACCTGTTCCTCGAAGCTTAAAGTTTTCCTCGAACTTCGATCTCGGAAAACTGTTCGCATCTTGGAACAGATAATGTCAGCGGACAAATATCCGTACATATTTTCGCGCCAAATAGAGGCTATTGTTTATACATTTGCGTGTATATTTGTCGAACAAAAATCCCTTTCTCGAAGAAAATGTTTAAAACATACCATCGCTAACATCGCTACCCAACGCCTGTAAGATATTATCACCTGTTTTTAAACACGAGGTTTCAAAATAAAACGCGATTTTGGCAGGTTACTGTCTCACACGCCAGTCTGCTACATTGTTTGTTCTATTTTCTGTTGCGTAACCGCACATGTTTTCTATCTGAATAAAGTCTAAACAAACTAAACTCTGTCAAGAGAAACCTATTTCATTGTTCTTTAAGGTCAGACAGGCTAAATGTAGGTCCGTTGTGGTTTTGCCGAGACTTGAGTGTAGGCGGAAAAAACACTAAATTATTTTTCTACCTCAAAGTAACTTCAAGGAGATTTTACTTCTATTACTACAGAGACTGGCGAGAGGCATTCGCTTGTTACCTGTTACTACTTTCAATAAAATTTACACATAAAGAAGAATCTAAAGGAATTGAGTTTAAGTTTTCAGCCCAGTCTTGTTTCTATACTAAATGATAAAGCCGTATGTTACATACACAGGTGTCCTCTACAATGTGAGTGAGACACTTAAGTTCTTTATTCTCATTGTGAAAAAAGATAGCGGTTAACCTTGGCCTTCAGCAAAGGTGCATGAAAAGTTACCTATTCAAAATTTCGAGAATATGTTCTTCAATACCAATTATTCTTCTCGTCGTGGTTCAATTTTATCCATGATTTAGATTTTGCCTTTTTTCCCTTTGTTTCAAACTTCTTATCACACATAACCAGACCCTCAAACAAAGGAAAATAATTAACAAAATGAACATTTTGAACCTCAACAAATACGAATTTCAACACCTGGCTTTCAGAACCTTTGGGCAAAAAAAAAATTAAATGCTCATTTTTTTTCAATCAAAAAAGCATTTCCGACATCAAAAAGACACTAAACTTAAATCAAAACAGCCCATGTCCCTACGGCAAACAATTGACGTCAGGGTTTTAATAAACTACAATATTTTGTATGCCGGGAGCCTTAGGTTCCTCTACAGGATATCGAAACTTCCAGGGTTAGTGGCGATATCCCGCGCGATATTCCAAGCCTGTTTTGCCGCCATGTCTAAAGCCTGCTTTGGCTTACAGCCAAACAAGTCCACTCCCTTCAGGAAGAAATGGGGGCACCTTCGACACTGCAGGCAAGACACGAGCTGCAGAAGAATACCATTGATGCGATCAATGAGCGATTCGTCGGTCCATTCTGTTTCTCTGGGATGCTTTTCGCATTCAAAGAGTAACAGCATCACTAGATGTACATATTCCAACGGCTTTCCGGGTAAATCAAGGTGCTTGTCGTACAAAGTTTTCAACATGCTAAGACACAACCTTCGCCCGCCGTTTGCGAAGAGCATGTCCTCGGCGTCATAGAAGCACAGTAGCCAGGCATCACCTTCAGACCCTGCGCCTTTGACACTCGGATACGGATCTCGTGCCAGCAACGAAAACCCTCGTAGCTTAATGCCGGCTATTACCGGCTGTGGAGGCCATATAGTATCAGGATTTGGCCAACAACATCCGTTCTGCGGCCAGATAGAGCCGCAACGAAACGCTGGGATCAGCTCTACAGTGTAACGCTCCAAAACTGTGAGTTTCGCCGAGAAATGATTGTCTACGTTGACGCGAATTTGATTCTGAAGTTCTCCGCGCCGTATTGCCTCCGCGACTAAAGATATGAACCGCGAGCGCACTTTTCTAGCGGACAGGTAGCCAGAAGCCGTTATAAACTCTGTCCAAAGAGACATGGAGCGCTTCCGTTCATCACTGAGTTTCAACATTGCACAGCCGGGCGGGCAGCTTTCATCGATAAAATTAAAAACTCCCATTTGATTCAGGTATAAATGCACTTCGAAGTTGCGGGGAGATAATGCTCTAACCCCTTGATATCTTCCATCCACGAGTTTCAGAGACGAGATGAAGCGTGGCTCTAGGCCTTCCACATGCTTCAATAACTCCTGAACCACTGAACAAATGTTTGTTATGGTTTTATAAAGCTCGGTTTTCCGCCTGTGTACCCGGGTGTTGACAAACTTTTGTAAACTCGCACGGCGTTCAGGAAATACAGAAGCCATCATTAGTAGGAGTGAGAGTACCGCATACGATCGGCACTCCGATGCGTTGTCTGTTCGACGGATACGTTTTAAGGCGACTACTTTCCAGTCTGTAGTATTAACGTGACAAAGTTGGACCAATTGAAGCTGTCAGCGGCTATTAATCTCTGGAACAATAAGCAGGACCGACTCTCCACCAATAAAATACCGGGGGTCAACAATCTTGAGTAAATTATGGGCCGAGAAAGAGCGCAAATCGCGACCACAGCTGTCCCTCACTAACGCTGATCTCTGTCCCCCTCAAAAACAAGCACTTAAAAACAAATTCTCCGCATGCCTAGAATACGTTCTTGGAAAAATTCAGCAGGTAAGGCGGTCGCAATGTTTTCAATTTTATCGGCTAAACCAAAGCCCTTTTGCATCTCTTTGCTGTATGCCGAGTCATTTACCTATCTTATTAAACTTTCTAAACACAGACCGCCCACCGCCTGCGTGTTATTGCTTGCGATATTGAAACTTTCGGCGACTGTTGCCTGGTTTAAAACATTAAGCTATCTATTCCGCAACTTGAGATATTTCTCAAAATGAGACATTGACTAGCACATGAACAATCGTAAAAAAGGAAGTCGCATCCCAAAAGCTATTTCATACATGGCAAGGTAACAACCATTTAAAATCATTTTTACCCGATTTTCATTGTTTATCACGGTTTTAATAACCGTACGTTTATTACGTTTAAAACAATTTGTCTGCGGCGAGCACGAAAAGCAATAAATCGAGAACAAACAACGGCGACAATAAAGAAAAGCACAAGAAAATGACAGCGATATCACAGGGAAGAGGAAGAAGCCGGCAGGTGAATTTATTAAAACGCACGAGCTGTTAATTTAGGCTTTCAAAAAGTCTTTGGACTGTTCATCACAATTGGCTGTTATAATTTCGTCGCTGTCGCCAAAAGCTGCGAAGTGCAATTTGATAATGAAATCCTAATAAACATATCAACACGCGTTTAGCACCTCGTCTTGAAAGTGTGTGTGTGTTCAAAAGCCGATAATAGCTGATAAATAGGTGACAAGAAGAAGAAACCTTAAGCCTCCACAATAAACAAAGTCGTTTCTAATTCACAGTTAAAATATTTCTGCCTCCAGGCTAAAGAAACAGTTCATAATGTTAGAGTCAATTGCCCCTTCCCGACGTCAAATTGGCGTAATTTTCCTTCATTTGAATTTGTCAAGTCTACGCTTTCGGCAGCATTTGTATCAACAAAAATAGAGCATTCATCTAGCACCTTTGATGTCACAATAAATACGAGTCAGAGTAATTGCGATTAAATTTTCCTGCGAATTGTTGTTTACAGTTTTGCATGTAATTTCTAGGCTCAACTTTACCCGCACTACAAACCAGGTTTTAATAAAACTGGATCACCGACACCTGTTCCGAATTGGAAAAAGGGACACAAGTCATCTACTCATTCTGAAAGAGCACAAAGCATCCACTCTAAAAACATAAACAAAAATGACGAAACATGAAATAGATTCTCTAATAACAGGTTAACTAGACCGAATAATAGCTTGTTCCCTCAAAAAAGCATTCAATGAGCATTATTTGTTGCTGACGTAAAGCCCAAAAGCCATTGGAAAGCCAGCGGTGACAAGCTGTCAATCGCTCGACACGCCGTTTGAAGTTGCCGCATGCCGACTTAGCATAATCAAACAAGGATAACCCATAGCATGAACAAAAAACCGACAGACCTATGGATTTAACAACATGGAAAATAAAAACTGCCCGCGGTGAACAGGAATCAAATCAAATTCAAGTTAGTTGTAAATTAGGAAAATCATGAGCACTAACACCGCAATGACAATTTTCAAGCGGAAGGCACCAAAAAGAAAAATCAGTTTGAAACGAGAGGAAGAGGCTTTTCATTGGAACTTAAAGCTATATCGAGTTGATGTTTACGCGAAGTACGAGTTTAAATCATAATGTTCGACAATGGCGAACAAAAGCCTCCGACCTCGTGCAGGGTAGGTGGGTAAATTTGGTTGGCTGAACTAACTTCAAAAAAACAAGCTTCAAACATCGCACCATAAATTGACCACAAATCATTAAGTGACAAGTCGGACACCTCCTTTTTATGCAATCTGTATTAAATAAAAAAAAAACTTCCAACATTGACTTAACATTCAACGCTAAGTAGAGCCAACAGCCAGTTACCAACTATAATACTTGAGGGAAAGGTAACGAACAGAACACGGAATTTTTTTTTCTGTCCAATCTTCGAAAGCGTAATTTCTAAGATAAAACCAAAATACTTCGATATCAAAGTTTACCCATAATAGGAATAAAACAAGGCACACGCTTATTTTTTAATTACTACATGCGGCACCATCAAAGCTTTTAAGTAAAACCAATAAGGAGAATTAAAGGCAAAAATCAAAACAATTTCGTGAAACTCGAGGGGGGCAATAATCGGACGAAGTAATTAAATTTGTCTTCCAAAATCTATGATTCAGAACTCAATATCCTTTTTTTAACCCAAGAGGTTGTTAAATTGCCGGGCTAACATTAAATCCGCGCAGGTAAAAGATCTCCCCTCTAGCAACCAAAACTCAGGACATGCCAATCGCTTAAACCTAGAAACTCAAAAATGATAAGGGAGAAACCTAAATAAATTACACTCAATGTAAACTGCTTGCGTTTTGTCAAAATTACGTAGCATACGGAAAGAACTTATCATCAATACGCTCAACTAAGAAAGGCGCGGATAACAGTGGATTGCTTAACCCTTTAACTCCCATGAGTGACCGAGACAGAATTTCTCCTTACAATATCAATACAATATCAACCAGATAAGTGATGAGAATAAAGAAAAACATCAATTAAGGGAAAATTAGTTGATCTAGTACTAAATTCTGTGAGCTAACATCATAGGAATTGTATAGTTGAAAGTAAGGAGAATTACAAATTTGATCTGGGAGTTACAGGATTAAGGTATGTAGAGAATTTGGACTTCAAAAAGTACGGAACACAAGAGTCCTTTCAGCTGTAACGTTGATGGAAAATGAAAGATCGACAACTTGGGTTAAATAGATGAAAAAGCTAAATTTACTTTTATTTTGCTGATTTCACAGATTACAATTAAGTAAAAAGAGAGATAAACAAAAAAACAAAAAAAAAAAAGTAACCGTGAGTGGCAAACGTCTGGGCACGCTTTCGTGTTTTCCCGTTGAAACGTATTAGAATTTACCTCCTTCTCCCCAACCCTCACCGCCGTAAACAATGTGGAACATGGGGGGAGGGGAAGGGTTTATATACTACATGAGAACTTTCAAAGTCAAACAAATTTGTTGAGGAGAGTTATTTTCCTCAGCTTCCAGTACTTTCGCCACCCATGAGAACTGAACAGACCTAAAAAAAATTAAACTCCCCTAATTTTAGTCAAGGGTAACCCAAACAATAGGCATTGGCTAGTGGGAGACAAACAAGTGAACAATTACACGACAAAAATAAGTAATACATAGATACAATATCTTTTTCTTCTTTTCTAATCTATGGTAAACTTTCGACTGATCAACACAAAGACCACGCAATACGAAGTAATTTTTTTAAAAGGGAGAAAACTAATCCTCCGTTTTATCTGTAGTCAAACAATTAACTACCTCGGTGTCGGTGAAAGAAGATGATATTAAACTCCGATCCAGTGGTAACTTGTCAAATAAGATTTCCGATTACTGCCAACGATTTCCGATTACTTCTGACGATTTTCGACTACTTCCGAAAATTTCCAAATGTCGTCGAGGACTTCGAAAGAGACTCGAAATTTTCGCACGTCGGGAAAAGGTCACGATGTTGTCAGAGCATTTTGTAGCGCTTTGCAAACTTTAACAACTTTAACCTGGAGGAGAATACTTCATGCTAGTTTGACAGGCTAGACGAACACAAATTAGGGTAAACGGATTGAAAATGACGACCTGGAGATGTCGGATACATACCTTTAAGGAGCAAAATTCGTGATGTTATAGAAAATGTTGTCGTTCATCAAAGTTTGCGGATAAATGAAACGTTTAATCGTAGGTCTTACGATGTAGAGTCAGTTTATCAATATAGCCTCTTAAATAGTACTCACACCAGTTAGAAATTCAAAAGCAACAAAAAAAGGACTTACCTTTGGGTCCAGTTTCTGATATTCTGGATTTTCCTCGTCTACAGTGAAGAACAATGCCTCTGACGTCACTGTCAGAGTACCAGGGGCCACCACACAGGGTGCAATCATGTGACATGAACTTGTGAACACCACGTGACCGGACACATCTCGACCCATGCTGCGGTCTTCAATGACCATTTCTGCTATTTCTTCTTCGTTCAACGAGTAGGAATCCTCGGCTTTGGCCGAAGAAATTTTGGCGAAGTTGAGAGGCTGAGGGGCAGCTGTTAATCCGTGATCTCCTATTATACAACGAAGGCAGAATAACTGTGAAGGAAAAACTACAGCGGCAGGGTTTGCAGGGAGCTGCGAGAGCCGTTGTTGGTAACACTACCTGCTCTTCACCAATATGGCTTGAGTTGGATTAACATGAGTCAAGTTCGCTGTTAATTCACGTCATCCCTTCAATAGTTTGCCTTAACTATTTCCAGTTTCCCACCCGCAATAACAAGTAATATGATATTTTAAGCAAAATTCCAATACAACATTTATGCACGCGACCTCCATGACGCGGTATTGAAACATTTAAATGGGAACGTAATTAAATATGACTTTGCTCGCACGATTGAAAAATTGTAATCATGATTCATTCAATGTCTCACCTTCTAATGATTCCAGCAATGTTGCCTCTGGATGACTCGACCCATGTTCGTTCTTAACAAAGCGCATGCGCCGACGACTATCATCTTCCCACATATCCAGTCGGTAAAACTGTACATTTGCAGGCTCCTGTTCCACTGCCCATGCGCCCTGTTCACTGGTTATTATGTCAAGAACCTGGGAGAAATAATTGACCTTAAGGGATAGTTACCCACTAAAAAAAAAATACTTAACCTTGCAAACATAGCCTGAAAAAGTTCACATGCCTCTTTAGATTGCAAGCAACGCCGTTATTTTTTCTTCAAGTTGAGGGTCAATTGTAAAGCTTTCCCGCTCTTCAAACTGACGGCATATTTTCTCGCGCACTGCGCACCAGTTCTGAATGTTTCTATTATCAGATGTCAAGAAATTCCCTTTTTACAATAGCAGTACCCCGGTTAAGCCTCCCTCTATGACCACCCGAGGCTCGCCTAAGCAATGCTACAACTTTAT